AGCGTCTGCCTTCGGCTCAGGTCATGATCCCAGGGTCCTGGGATCGAGCCCCGCATCGGGCTCCCTGCTCTGCGGGAAGCCTGTTTCTCCCTCTCCCCCTGCTTGTGGTCCTGCTCTCACTGTGTCTCTCTCTGTCAAATAAATATATAAAATCTTAAAAAAAAAAAAAAAAAAAGAGTTTTAGTTAACAGTGATTATTTCTGGGGGTAAGACTGCAGGTGGCTTATCAGTTTTCTATACATTTTTGTATTTGAATCATTTTTATAATAATTATATATTACTTTCTATAATTAGGAGGTAGCAGACATTTTAAAAAAACAAGTACAGAGATTTTGTTTTTGCATGTTATGAAACATGAAGAATGGGAAGCAATATAAATGTTCAAAAATGTATTATAGTATTTCCGCTCCTGGGATTGTATATAGCTACCCAGATATTGTTATGGGACAATGCTTACAATGCAAAGTGAAAAAAAGAGAATACAAAAGTGTGTGTGTGTGTGTAAATAACAGAATGACTATGAAACACAGACATAACTAATCAATGTTAACAGCTCTCTGTAGGTGAGGGATGATGCATTTTGTGTGTGTGCTTTGTTGGTTTTTTTCCATATTTTCTATAATGAATTTATACTTTTTCCATTACTCTTGTAATGGGGAAAATCTCATCACTATTATTATTGTAAGATTCATTTGTTAAAAAAAGAATGAAATTTGGGAGGCTTAGCTATGGGTGATACCATAGGGAATCAAATTACTCGATATGTGTAAAAATGTTTGTAATACTGTAAAGCTAGTATTATTTACATGAAAATATCATATTTTTGTTTTGTTTTGCCCAAGTAGAATTTTGTGGGGTTTTTTTTAAAGATTTTATTTATTTTTTAAGTAATCTCTGCCCTCAGCACGGGGCTCAAACTTAACAACCGGGAGATCAAGAGTCACGTGATCTTCTGACTGAGCCAGCCAGGCGACCCCCAGTAGAGTTTTTTTGGTTAGAATTTTATAATATGCATATTGTCATACAGCCTCTTCTATTATAATGAACAGAAAGGGCTACCTCCTGTGAATTCTCTTTGGTATAATTTTGTCTGTATAAGGTCATATAGTTGTTCAGCTCCTTTCATCAGAGGATCTCAAAGCACTTTGTACAAAAATACCCTTTTTTTTCTATTGGTGGGAAATGGAAGTGATATAATTTAAATTTCCATAACACCATGACTAAGGATCAAACTTGTTATGTACTCAGATGTACTCCTTCATTTAAAGATGGGTGAAATGAAAGACTGGATCTAGTGAATAGAGATGATGTGGAATTCTAGAAGCCTTTTCTGACTCAGGGAACCAGTGCTAATGAGTGATGGTGGTGTGAGGCATTTCATTTGGGTTTGTACCACTACTGTGCTTACTACCTACTGGTAATGACACTAAAAAATGATTAAGATGTACTTAGAGGAGGAAAATGGGGTACTCAAGTCCTCCTCTTCTGTCTGGAGTAGTGTTTAAGGGTTAGTATATTGCTCAAGGGCACAAGTGTGTCTACTCTTTTTTGAGACTATGATGTAAATGGATCTACTGTCATTTACAATGCATTGTTATGAGACTTTTTCCCTGTAATATTAAGGAAAAAGAGGGAAATACATTTGTGATTAGTGTGTGCCTATGAATTGTTCTCCATTCCACTCAGGAGTCACATGCTCCTGTGATCAGTTCTGGAGTTTGTTAACTCATGGAATGTGTTTCCTTTTCTAGGTTAAAAGTTACTAATGTCGCTGCCTGTTTGTTTCCTGCTTTATTTAGGTTTCATGTCCTCAGCAAGCTACTGAGCTTCATGGCACCTATTGACCATACTACAATGAATGATGATGCCAGGTGAGTAATAGATTAATTATGTGTCTCAAATGGCTCCATGACAGCCTGATATTGACCTGTTCTACAGCCTGTCCATTTCTTCTTATCAGTTAACCATTTGTCATTGGCATCATAGCAAGGGTCCTTGTCACATTTCTTCACCCCATAATTACTGTAGAACCAAACCAAAATTTCCGTAAATATCAATGCTGCCTCTGGTGGGGTTTTTTTGTTTTTGTTTTTGTTTTTCCTGTTTTGTTTTTAACTTTAGCCACTTGCCTAGCACATCTGGGCTTTTCTCTAGAACAGAAAGGTGTCAGGACAGCACATGTGCTTGCTTTCTGTGGCTGGGGGTTTTGTGCATATTCTCTCCTTTTTAAAAATGTCTTTAGAGACTGCTCTAGAGATGTGCATTATGTTGTGTTTGTTCAGGCTGCTTGAGGATTTTTTTTGTGTGTGTATTTTTATAAAAGAAGTACATGCTCATTTTATAAACTGAAACAAGATAGAAATGTATGCAAACAATGTATCCTTCTATATTAGCTAGCGTTCTACTATATTGTACTATTTCTTTTTTTTTTTTTTT